CGACGCGGGCGCAGCTCGCCGGACAACGCGGCTGGCGAGCGGGGCTCGCTGTGGTATATAAGCACTTTTTTTGTGAGGGTATGCCCCGGGATGGTGAATTGGCACCTATTTTCACATCATAGTTTAATTGAATGTCATTCCCCTCTGGCATACCGGCACCTATTTCCTGAGGCAGCTTGGCTCCCGACGGAAAGCTGCTTGGGTCATGCAATGCAGCTCTTAAAGAGACTGTGACTGCATTTTGCCCCCTTCCCCTTTTCTTTATATGCTCAACAACTTTGAGCCTGGAGTACCAGCACCTTTTTTCTTATAAAAAAAAGCAGTTTATACACACACACACACACACACACACCTGATGAAGTGGGTTTTACCCACAAAAACTCATGATCCTACATATTTTTGTTAGTCTCTAAGGGTATGTCTACACTACAGCGTTATTTTGAAATAAGCTATTTTGAAATAGTTAATTTGAAATAGCTTATTTCGAAATAACTCATCTACACACAAAATACATTTCAAAATAGCATTTTGCTATTTTAAAATAGCGCGTCCATACTAAGTGGACTCTGAATCTCATTTAAGGCCGGCCGGAACCAGGTCCGGCAGGGCATCAGGTCAAGATTTACTTTGTGTGGCTGCTGCCCGAGGCTGTCTGAGGCCTGTGCTTAAAGGCACCCCCTTGGACAGCCAGTTCTCAGGTTTCCCTGCTTGCTTGCCTACCTCCATGAGGGACAGGAAACCATTTTGTCTCTGTGTGCTCTGGTTGCCTTCACTCGGGACATCACAGCACTCTGCAACGTGAAGCCAGAGCTGCCCCTGGGCACTCTGGTGCTTTTCGTGGACGCGTTGCTGCGGACCTGTCTGAACTTTCTGCAGGCTGCCATCTGAGAGGTCCATCAGGGGGCTGTCAGTATCCAGGAGGCCCTGCGGGAGAGCTTCCATAGTATCCAAGATCCACCCTGAGGATCACTAACAGTCTCCCTGGTCTGCCCCACTGGAGGCTTGTGTCTCATTCCTCCCTCATGTCCCTCCACTTACCCCTCCCTAACCCCCCTTCCTGATGTCAAATAAAATACACGTATTTTCAGGAACACAAACTCTCTTTATTTAACAAAACTGGGGGTGGGGGGAATGAAACTCCGGAGAGACTCTGGTGAGAGGGGAGGACAGAGGGTGGGAAAGGAAAGGGGGAAACCTGGGAGGAGGGAGCTGAAAGGGGGAAGCAAGGGAAAGAAGGGGGAGGAGAAGCTCAGGGGTGGGGGTGTCTTGCTGGACCAACTTGATTTTCAGGCAAACCTGCTCCTGGGTTCGCATGTAGCCTTTGGTGGCCAGGCTGTCAGCTATCCTGTCATAGATGGCCGCGTTCCTCCATCTAGTGTGGAGATCATGGTTGTTGGGGACATCTCTCCCAAACCTGAATAAGGTCCATGATCTCCACCCTGAACCAGGAAGGCACCTGCCTTCTCCGGGCCCTGGCAGGCTCCAGGGAGCTGGCAGACTGCACCTGGGGAGTGGTGGAGGACTGGCTCCCAGTGGCTTACTGGTTTATGATCTGGGGTGACTGGGTCAGGGGCAGTGACTGCTGGCTCTGGGCTGGCAGGCTTGGAGCTGGCACAGGCACTGTGGCCAGAGTCTACCCCTCTAAGGACTCCAGGGAGGGGCGGGGGGTAGAGGAGTGTTCTTGGTTGAGGTTGGAGTGGCCACCAGGGCACGCTGGGAAGGCTGGAGGACCCCTATTTCAAAATAAGTGTCTACACAGCACTTATTTCGAAATAGCTATTTCGAATTTAGCGTTATTCCTCATAGAATGAGGTTTACCAAATTCGAAATAAGAGCTCCTCTATTTTGAATTTATTTCGAAAAAGCAGTTTGGCTGTGTAGATGTTAGGAAAATTATTTCGAAATAAGGGCTGTTATTTCAAAATAACTTTGCTGTGTAGACATACCCTAAAGTACCACAGGACTACTTGTTACTTTTAAGGTATATTCCAAGTGGAAGGCTGTTGAGGAGCAACAGAGATTTCTTCATAGCTTCCTAGGTTATAAACCCAGAAGCGATTACTGTGCTTATCCAGATTTACCTTCTGTATACCATGGACCATAACATTTCCCTGAATTAACTCCTGTTTCAACTAGCACACATCTTTTAGACAGACATGCAATCCTGATTTAAAAACTGACAGTGATTGAGAATCCACCCTAACCCTGGGTAAATTGTTCCAAATTACCTTCACTGTTACTGCATGGAAAACAATCTGATAATAATGTGTTTGTTACTTCAGCTAACTGAGATATTGTTTGATTGTTCTAAAACCAGTATAATTCTACCCCTGCCTATCTTCAGAGGAGCAACCAGATTGCTCAATCACTAGCACTGAATAATACTAGTAACTATCTCATTTTCTGTACACAGGGTGTTTTTTCTTCTGTTCTGATGTTACGCTTACAAATCTGTACTGTAAATTCCAGCTCACCAGTGTCAAAATTCAGCACTCTGGCTGCTTCTCCTTCCACAGTGACCACTACATTGTCCCCTTCAATGAAGGCTGCTGTAACCCTCCTGTGAGACAGCATGATCTCAAAGAGTCTTCTACTACATTGGACGTGATGTAGAGTCAATTCATTGACCCTGGGTTCAATATCCATCTTGTAGGCATTGAAGGATTGGTGGAATATGTTCTTCATTATCTAAAACAAACAAACAACCCAACAAAGGGACTTGTCAAAGGTAACGATCTTAATTGCAGACTCCACATTTGCACAGTCAACAAACATGTGTACGTACATATTAGGCAATTGTGCATCTACACAGACACACAATATTGGGTGAACGTAGGCTAAACGTGAGAAATAAATGTCTTGTACCAGGCAAGAAAAGGTTAGGAGTGAAAAGTGAGCGGAAGAAAATTAGTGCCACCTTGCTCAATGCAGCAAAGACTTATTCATATACCGGTACTTCATTTTACACATGAATAGCCCAAATGACTTCAAAAATGTCAAGACCATAGGGAAGAGTTTTCAGGTTGGGGGCCCCTGAGATTCCTAAGAGAAGGGACCGCATCATTTTTACTTCTGTCTAACCTCTGGCCTTTGGGGATTTGATTCTGATTGGGCCTTTGAGCTCTCTTGTAACAAACACGTGTAATACTACTAAAAATGGGACAGGAAGGGTGATTACCAGCCTCTTTACAGAGGAGTGTGGAGTTGAATACTAACTACAAAAATGGAAACAAATGAAGCTTTCACTGTGAAGGCTTTAAAACTGAGGTTAAATCATTAATTAATTACAGAAGACAAATCAAGGAGATGGAGCATAACTAAAAAGAAGTTAAAAAAACATTAACATCGTTTTTTAATATTAACCACAAGTACTCTTTCTTCATCAAATCAGCCACCACTAGCATCAATCCTTGCTTCTGATTAATGCCATCTTTAGTTTCTTTATACTGATAACAATACAAACAACCCTCATGTATGATATTGCTCTTTTAAGTCTAAGATCTGAGGGTACGTCTACACTACATGCCTCTGTCGGCAGAGGCATGTAGATTAGACAGATCAGCAAAGGCAAATGAAGCCGCGATTTAAATGATCGCGGCTTCATTTACATTTACAGGGCTGCCGCGCTGAGCCGACAAATAGCTGATCAGCTGTTTGTCGGCTCAGCGCGGCAGCCCTGTAAATGTAAATGAAGCCGCGATTTAAATGATCGCGGCTTCATTTACATTTACAGGGCTGCCGCGCTGAGCCGACAAATAGCTGATCAGCTGTTTGTCGGCTCAGCGCGGCAGCCCTGTAAATGTAAATGAAGCCGCGATTTAAATGATCGCGGCTTCATTTACCTTTGCTGAACAAACAAATCTACATGCCTCTGCCGACAGAGGCATGTAGTCTAGACACAGCCTGAATGTGTCTCTTAAAAGAAAGCAGAATGTGTGTTCAAAGAATGTTGAGTCAAAAATTTGATCTGGTCTTACTTGGTTGCTTAAACTGTCTGCTATGTAAGGAAAAGGATATCAGAAGAAACTTTACTTTTTGCAGCTATTGTATGCAAAGTCCACATTCCCACAGATTGCACGCAATGTACCGTTATTACTATAATGAGGAGGGAATTTAGGAAATTTCATGATATGGAATAATATCACTATAATTCCCCTCCCTCTCCAAAAAACCCCCCTGGATTATGTTCAGTAATGAGTATAAGCTTGACTGAAAAGAATAAATTCACTTGTAAGAGGCTTCATGCCCTCCAATCCTCCCCACCTCCTGTCACCAACACACACACAGAGATGATCATCAGCTGGCTTTTCTAAACAAGCCAATTTCTCAGCACAAAAATTGTGACTCAGGAAAAAATGAATAGCAAGAAAATAGGCTATCATTATATGAGCAACATGAAGTCATGACTAGAACACAAAGGCAGGAAAGCTAAATTATGGTTATTGTTGATGACAGAGAGAGGAAAAAAGGAATGCTAACACCAGAAGATAGCATTATAATTCTCAACACTTAGCACTTTCTGTCAATACCTTGGTCTGATTCCTTACCAGTAATGCCAACAATAGTTTTGTCATGATTTTCAGTGGGAGCAGGGTAAAAACCCAACCCTATAAACCAGTGGAGAGCAACTTGTGGCTTATGGGCTGCAGGTGGCCCATAGGTGTTCCACCCATGGCCCAGTCGCCTCCTGTCTACCCCTTTCCCTCATGCCCCTCTCAGGCACTGGGGCACTGGAGTCCTGCACCCCACTCCTCCCACTCCCTTTCAGAGCGTGAATACCATGAAGTTGTCGCCTATGCCTGGGAGGCAGGGTAGGCTTCGCAGCCTGAACGCCAGCCTATGCACAGTAGATCACAGCTATTTTTAGCACCGTGAGATGAACCTGGGTCTGTTGGCTCAGAAACTCACTGTTATGGGGATTATTTTGGTTTATTTTTTTGTAGTGTACGTGTGCCAAAGATGAGATGTCCACTTCACTGTAGCATGTGTAGATAAATGCTGAGATTTTTTTTTTCCTTAGTAAGGGTCATTTATACCCAAGCTCCTTAAACCACAACTGTGCATTTGTGACAGAGTCTATGGCTCACTCACCGCTCTGTGCACTTGGCAAGTGTCCACATATGGGACAAACTGAGGAAATAATTGTTTAAGTGTTGGATGATTGATTAAACTATTAATGAGGTGATTCAAGCAGTACCAGGCAGGTGATCTCAGGCAGATGAGAGTCCCTCCCTCTCCTCTGTGTCTAAGGCTAGGTCTCCACTGGGAAGTTTTGGTGACCAACGTGCTGTCAACCTGCAAAAGTCGTCAAAAATGAACACTAGTCACACCTGTTTTTCTGCCTTCCATTGTCGACATTTCACGGCTACCTTGCTAGCACCCTGTCAACAGGTAAGAGCAAACCAATGGGGCAAGCATCCCACAATGCAGTGTTATGGGAAGGCAGAGATGATCCTTGCATTTTTTAGGATTCCCTTGTAGCTCTGTGATCTCTCCATGCTGAGGAATGTGAAAGCAGCAAAGCAGTCTCTACAGGCCTCCCTTCAGCAGCCATCTTCCTGCCGCTGTGTTCGAGCAGGGCAGAATGGGAGCACTCTGATGACTAGTTCTTTGTTTATTCCCCAAACAGAGCAGTTCACTCAGCTGTCAGACACTTTCCAAAGCTTTGAAAGGAAGGGGCACATGCCTGCAGACTCATGAGCTTACACAGACCTCATGTTACTTTCCAGGACACAACAATCCACTCATATCCTTAAAAAAGGTGATTTTATGAACAAAACAAAAAGATACCCTCCAAGCAGAGGAAGATGTCTCCCTGCACCTAAACGTAGGTGCCCATCTCTGCCCATGTCTATACTACAGAGTTTTTGAGGAAAAACAGCCATTTTTCCACAAAAATTTGTGGAGTGTCCACACCTCAAGCGCGTTTTTGCACAAGTAAATCACAAGATCAGAGGGGAATGCCTTTTTGCTCAAGAGCTCTTGCACAAAAAGATGTGTGGGAACGGGGAGGAGGGGGTTTTCATGCAAGAAGAGGAAAGAGGAAAAAGCACAGGTCCCCTGGTGGCCATTCTGTCCATAGCAAACACTGCATACTTGCAAGAGAGCATCCAGATATTCTGGATGCTCTCTTTCACAATGCCTATTGCTTTTTTGATGAGCTTTTGCAGGGTAGACGTTCTCTTGCACAAGAAGTTTTTGCGGAAGATCTCTTTCAACAAAAGCTTCTTGTGCAAAAAGCCTGCAGTCTAGACATAGCCTGAGAGAGGGGGCAGAGCTTAGCACCAAAACCTTACAATGGCATCTTCCATTGGCTATCAGAGGTAGGGGGCAGCATAACTGTTCTGAATTTCTCCCCGTTCATTCTATAATGTGAGGAACTTGACCCAGGCTATGTGAATCCCTATGATTTCCTGGGCACAGTCACACTCCCAGTAACCATGCCCAAGTTTCTCTGTGAATCTAGCTCCAGGCCTTCATGCATATAAAACTGATTTAAAAATTAAGCAACAACCCCAAAGCTACTTATGTACAAACGAGTAGAAAAATACTAATTAGTAGCAGATACCAGTTATAGTGGGCATGGATTTGTATTTATCTGTATGTGTACATCATGTTTGCTTTAAACATACCTACCAATAAGAAAACAACTACATTTTAATAAAGTACAATGAATTGTCTGCATTTACCTAATAGCTTAAGCAAAGGGCATAAAGTAATTCTATTAGGAGCCAATTTATTTCATTAACTTATTTTCCCTAAGCACAGTAGTACTTCATGTAGTGTACTAAGTTCCGTCAGCTACTATTGACTGCAACAGGAGCACTGGAAACTCTTCCTGGAGTGGAGTCGGAATTTCTTGCCCTTTCTTTTGTTTTTCTTTTGTTTTTATGATGAGCCAACCATTCTTTCCAGATTTCAACAGCCCTGCAGATAGCACAGAGTAGGAATGAAAACTGGAATTCAGATTAGGTTAGTTTAATTGTTTCCATTCCAAAGTGAAACACTGGATCAAAGAGAAAACTAAACACCTGGACTCAAAAATGCCTTATTTAAGACTCGTTCGTAACTTCTTAAATTTGACATCCAGAATAAATAATTACTCAACTGCCTGGTTAATGTCCTTCTTCATGCCTCAATGCAGCATGCTAAATAAACATGCATATCTTCACCTGCAGTAATGGAGATTTTTTTTCTGTCCTTTCCAGCAGAGAAAGAACAGAAGTTACTGGATAAATGCAGACAAGACTTTGGTCCTTTCAAGGCTCACTTGAGATTGAGGATGTTCGTCACAAGTTTATTGCTACTGTAACATGTTTTAATTGTGAAACTACTCTGAAGACTTCCTCCCTACAATAAATTCCATTGGCCAACCCCAATTTCCTATTTTAAATAAAGAAACCAAGCTCGTTTTCAGGAGGGAGGAGCAGAACAGGTGGAATGTTATTGCTCTAGGGCTGTAAGTTTTCTAATGAGATTGGCAATACTTTTCTTTGTCTGTTTAACTTTTCCAGAAGCATTGTTTATTGAAGGTGTTGGTTCAAATCTTGATCCTTGGTAGGGTCACTTTGCACAGCTCATACAGAGCAAAGCAGCGAGAAAACAAGATGTGGACAGGGCTGGTAGGCATTGCCCCTTGCCCAATACTGCTTGTGGGTTTGTTGCTGCCAGTGTTACAAAGAACAATT